AAAAAATACTTGGTTGCATTATAGAAATTTCACTGGTTAATGAGAGTACATGGGGTCATCTAAAGTAGAACAATTTTTTTTGCTTTGTTTTGTTGTTTAGCTTGCTTTGCATTTTCATACCAATTTAATTACATACATATACATGGTGTTTATAAAAAATAAAATGTACTGGATTGAAGGGGAGCACAGTTAGACTCACTGTAATTTTTGTGGGGATTTTAGATTGTAGGAGTTTGATATTTGTAGAAATTTTTTTATATATTGAGTTGGGGTCTATGTTTTCCAGGTTGGTCTCGAACTCCTGAGCTCAAGTGATCCACCCACCTCAGCCTCCCAAAGTGCTAGGATTACAGGCATGAGCCACTGCGCCCAGCCCAAATCTCAGATTCTTATTCCATAAAATGAAGAATTACAGAGAATTTCTAAGGTGTCTTATGGAAAGAAGAACTTTGCAAAAGTAGTCCAGCTAAGCTTTTTGAGCATTTCCTGAATGGCAGCCACTAGTTCTACAGTGGGGAATGGAGTGAGAGTCTGAGCCACCAAGAGATGAAGTGTCCCCCAGCAGAGGTAATGGCCAAACAATAATGACATCCCAAATAAGGGATTTTAGCAACTCTCCAAGGCCCAGAGGCTAGAAAAAGGGAGAAGATTTTCTTTTTCTAATTAATTAACCAGCTATATTAGATATATTATTGGGAGTTGACTATGATTCTGAGTTTTAGTCATGTGTTAGGAAGGAGGTATTATATTTTGTCTTGATGAGTACATTTAAATATATACATGCTGAACAGTAAATTTCACCTGAGGTGTTTGTGTTGGGTACACTGATCCAGGTGTGCCAGCTGGCATTATGCAATAGACACCTAGGTAAAAACATTTACTGTTCCCCAATTATGGCACCCACATATCTCAGCTGCCTTTCAGCTAGGCAGGCCATGTGACTGACTTTGGCCAGTCATCAGCCAGGAGGCTGAGGTGGGAGAATTGCTTGAGCCTGGGATATCAAGGCTGCAATCTGTGGTGAGTAGATATGATTGTGTCAAAGTCTTGACTAAACATACAAAAAGGTTGTGAGTTATCTGCACTCTATTCTTCAGCGGTACAGTGGAGGCCCTCTTTTTTCTCATGTGGCAGCCACAAGATGATGGGGCCTGAGTTCTTTAGTGGCTGTGTGGTGCAAACCTCCTACTGACTCTCAGTGGACATAAAACATAAGAAATAAACATAGTTGTATTAATACATTGAGATTTTGGAGTTCTGTGTTACTGCGTCATAGCCCAACTCCTCTTGAGCAAATGTAGCTGCACCTGTCACTGGGGTGGAGATCAGATCCCTAGAGTCTGTCACCTTTGGAAGTGGACCATGGCTTAGAGAAAACAAGTTTCTTCATGCATGGATGCTTAAAGTATAATGAGAATGGGGATGGGGTTATAGAGCATTACCTCTGGTTTCACATCAATCATGGCTAGTTACTCCTTGGGCAGTTTGTTGGAATGGTTGTGTGAGAAAATAAGCAAAATTTCTCATGCATTTTTTAAATCTATGGGAATGATTCATGTACCCCATGTCTACTACTGAGGCATAGTCACAGATGTAATTATTATCATTACTATGGGGCACATCTTATGGAATAACAAGTCAATTGTAAACAAAAGTATACCTGGTGCCAAGTGTGGTGGCTTGTGCCTAGAATTCCAGCAACTCAGGAGGCTGAGGCAGGAGGATGGCTTGAGGCCAGGAGCTGGAAACTAGCTTGGGCAACATAATGAGGTTGCATCTCTACAAAAAGTAAAAAAAAAAAATTGTCAGGCACGATGGTTTATACCTATATAGAAAGAAACGTGGCTGGCCACTCTGGCTCACACCTGTAATCCTAGCACTTTAAGAGACTGAAACAGAAGGACTGCTTGAGTCCAGGAGTTTGAGGCAAGCCTGGGCAACATAGTGAGACCCCATTTCCATAAAAAATAAAAAATTTAGCTTGGTGTGGTGGCACACACCTGTAGTCCCAGCTACTCAGGAGGCTGGGGTAGGAGGACTACTTGAGGCTGGGAGATCAAGGCTGCAATAGCCATAATTGTGCCACTGCACTCAGCCTGGGTGACAGAGTGAGACCCTGTCTTAGAATAAAAAGAGAAAAAGAAAGCCCTTTTCTTTATAAATTACCCAGTCGGCCGGGCGCGGTGGCTCAAGCCTGTAATCCCAGCACTTTGGGAGGCCGAGACGGGTGGATCACAACGTCAGGAGATCGAGACCATCCTGCCTAACACGGTGAAACCCCGTCTGCTACTAAAAAAACAAAAAACTAGCCAGGCGAGGTGGCGGGCGCCTGTAGTCCCAGCTACTCGGAGGCTGAGGCAGGAGAATGGCCGTGAACCCAGGAGGCGGAGCTTGCAGTGAGCTGAGGCGCCACTGCACTCCAGCCGGGCGACAGAGCAAGACTCCGTCTCAAAAAAAAAATAATAAATAAATAAAAATAAATAAATAAATTACCCAGTCTCAGGTATAGAAACATAAAACAAATTAAGACAGTAGATTAACGCCAGCTCCAACCTGCAGCAGCAGCAATTCTGAGATGCCTTCCACACAGTTTCTCAGAGAGTACTCAGAGCAGTTGAGCTCCCATTTCCCACTGTGGGCATCTCTCATTAATGTACCCTCTTTTTTTTTTTTTTTTTTTTTGGAGACAGGGTCCCGCTCTGTCACCTAAGCTGGAGTGTAGTGGTATGAGGACAGCTCACTGCAGCCTTGATCTCCCAGGCTCAAGCGACCCCTCCAGCTCAGCCCCCTCAGGAGCTGGGACTACAGGTACACACCATGACACCTGGCTAAGTTTCTTTATTTTGTAGGAACAGGGTCTTGCTATCTTGCCAGGGCTGGTCTTGAACTCGTGGGCTCAATCAATCCTCCCACCTTGGCCTCCCAAAGTGCTGGGATTACAGGTGTGAGCCACTGTGCCCAGTTCTTTCTTAACCTTTCTATCTTTTCTATCTCGTTTTTGCACCCCCACCCCCACCCCACATGTGCTTCCTGGGATCAACTCACAAACCACTTGGACTCAAGTCTTTGTCTCAGGATCTCTATTATTCAAGGTTCTCCAAAGACACAGACCTGTAGGATATATATATGTGTGTGTGTATATATGAGATATATATTGGTTCATGTGATTATGGAGACCAGCAAGTCCAAAATCTGCAGGGCCAACGTCCTGGTCCAAAGGCTGTCAGGCAGAAAGAGCTGATGTGCCAGTCGAAAGGCCATGGGGCCAGGTGCGAGTGGTCAAAGCCTGTAATGTGCCCAGCGCGTGTTTGGGAGGCAAGACGGGCGGGGATCACGAGGGTCAGGAGATCGAGACCATCCTGGGGCTGACACGGTGATGAAACCCTGCTCTCCTTGTTTAACCTAAAAAATAAACTAAAACTAGCGGGCGGAGGCTGGCGAGGCCGTAGTTAGTCCCAGACTGACTCCGGGAGGCTGAGGCAGGAGAATGGCGTGAACCCGGGAGGCGGAGCTTGCAGTGAGCTGAATTGGGGCACTGCACCTCCAGGCTGGGTTGCAGAGCGAGACTCCCGTCTCAAAAAAAAAAAAAAAAAAAAAAAAAAAAGGGCCATTGGGCAGGAAATTTCTTTCTCCTTGGGGAAGGATTTTATTTTTATTTCTGCCTGTCAACTGATTTAGATGAGGCCCACCCACATCCTAAACGGCAATCAGCGGTTATTCAATATACCAATTTAAATGTTAATCTCATGTAAAAACACCTCTCACAGAAACACTCAGAATACTATTTGGCCAAATATCTGGGCACCCCAGTAGCCCAGTAAAGTTGACAAAATAAATTAACTCACAGACACCAAGTGTAGTTCATCATTTTGGAATATATTCGACTTTACATGCTCACTGATTTCTTGTTCACATTCAGTGTATAAAATGTTTCTGGTCCCCATTAAGGAGACACTCCAGTTCTCCAGGGGAAACCAGACTTTGGGCATATGCCGTCCATGAGTATGGACAGGGAAGCCGCTGTGGTCCAGGATGGAACGAAAGTCATACTGCACATACCGAGGTGTTCGGATACATGCTCAGCAATTCAGGTGCGCGTTCTCTCCTCTCTCTCGGAGTAGACACTTACTTCAACTAACGGGGACGCTGGCCAGTTGTTTTACCACCTATCCTGCTTTTCCCAGACTTTGTGTGGGCCCCAAAGCCCGCCAGCGTAGACGGCCCCAACTGCTGTCGCTGTCCCTGGTGCTGACCAAACGGTAACGCGTTCTGCGTTGGCGGCCGCTAGGCACTGGTGGTGCCCAGTTATTCTTTTATTTTCCTTTTGTTTTTTCTTTCCTCTTTTGTTGCTGCCCTTATTGCTGCCCATTATTCTCTTTCTATCTTTTCTCGTTCTTGTCTCTCTCTCTTTCTTCTTTCTTTTCTTTCTCTTTCTTTCTCTCTTTCTCTCTTTTTCCTCCAGAAAATGCTGCAGATTGAGTGTGATTTTGAAGCATAGACTAGACTTCGAGAGGCCAAAACGTGACATTTTGGCTTCTCTGTACATCCCCATTCACACTGAAGAATCAACACTTACTTGCTGATCATATTCCTAGGAGCTGGTGCACAGCCAGGACCTACGCTGATGCTTACCCTCCCCCTCTCCTGCCGCGGAGACGCCCCCGCCCCTGTGGCCCAGGGAAGTGCCAGGGGTCCCTGGGGAGGCGGAGATGGGAAGGGCAGGTGAGCGAAGAGGAGCAGGCTGGTCTGCACGCAGGCTGGGAAGCGGGGCTTCCGGGCCGCAGGGTCGCGGGGACGGGTGTGATGTAATCGCGCCACAGCCGCTGCGTCAAGGGGCGGCTCCGGGATGCGGGGACTGCGTAGAGCCGGTCCCGCCCCGCGCCCGCCGCGCCGCCTTCGCTAACCCCTCGGCAGCCGCCGGGACGACCACCAGAGCCACCGGAGCCCCTGAACACCGGCCCGCGTCACCGGTAACCCGCGGCACCGCCCTGGGGCGCGCCATGAAGTCGGCGGCGAGCTCGCGCGGGGGCGGTGGGGGCGGCCGGGGCGGCGGCTGGGGCGGCGGGGGCGGGCGGGCGGCGCGGGCGGCGCGGGCAAGGGCGGCGGGCGACGGCGGCGGCCGGGGGGCAAGGGCGGCTTCGGCGGGGGCGGCCGGGGCCGGGGGCGAGGCGGCGGAGACGGCAAGGATCGCGGCGGCGGCGGCGGCGGACAGCGGCGGGGCGGGGTGGCCAAGAGCAAGAGCCGTCGCAGGAAGGGCGCCATGGTGGTGTCGGTGGAGCCGCACCGGCACGAGGGCGTCTTCATCTACCGCGGGGCGGAGGACGCGCTGGTCACGCTGAACATGGTGCCGGGCCAGTCGGTGTACGGCGAGAGGCGCGTCACGGTGACCGAGGGCGGCGTGAAGCAGGAGTACCGCACGTGGAACCCATTCCGCTCCAAGCTGGCCGCGGCCATCCTGGGCGGGGTGGACCAGATCCACATCAAGCCCAAGTCCAAGGTGCTGTACCTAGGCGCCGCGTCGGGCACCACTGTCTCCCACGTCTCCGACATCATTGGCCCAGATGGCCTGGTCTACGCCGTCGAGTTCTCCCACCGCGCCGGCCGCGATTTGGTCAACGTGGCCAAGAAGCGCACCAACATCATCCCTGTCCTGGAGGACGCGCGGCACCCGCTCAAGTACCGCATGCTCATCGGGATGGTGGACGTGATCTTCGCCGACGTGGCCCAGCCCGACCAGTCCCGCATCGTGGCCCTGAACGCCCACACCTTCCTGCGCAACGGGGGCCACTTTCTCATCTCCATCAAGGCCAACTGCATCGACTCCACCGCATCTGCCGAGGCTGTGTTTGCTTCTGAGGTGAGGAAGTTGCAGCAGGAGAACTTGAAGCCCCAAGAGCAGCTGACCCTGGAGCCCTATGAGAGGGACCACGCTGTGGTGGTCGGGGTCTACCGGCCCCTTCCAAAGAGCAGCACCAAGTAGCACCCAGCTCAGGCTCACCTGCCATCTCCCCAAGCCTGTGTTGTGTTTGCTATTATTTTCTATGTGTTTTCTTTGTGCGTGTTTTGTTTTGTTGTTTTTCTATTAAACTGCAGAAAGAAACGGCACCTATCTGTGTGGTGATGCCAGGCTAGGTTTTGCTGCAGTAACAACCCCCAAATCCCAGTGGCCTAAACCAGCTGGTGTAAGGGGCCCATCACGCAGTAGCCTGGGAGCTGTGCTCATTCTAATCACTCCGGTCCCCAACTCCCCAGGGCCCCATTTTCACACATGCTCCCTCCATCCCTAGGGCAAAGGAAAGAGAGCTGGGGAACTGCTAATAAAAGCTTTTAAACTTCCCCTTGGAACTGATGGGGCACTTCTGCTCACATTTGGCCAAGTCATATGACCAAGCCTGACTCCGGGGAAGGACACTGAATATTGATGGACAATAATATAGTCAAACACACCAATCATCTGACTCACAGCCAAAGTCAACCACAATAAGTTTTTATTGCTTTACTCTTCAACTAAGCCCTTTTGCATTCACGGTTAAAGTGAATAATAAATAAATGTTAAATTTATTCCTCACACCAGCCCTGAGATGGCTTTGTTAGCACTTGCATATTACATGTGAAGCAACAGGGCTTCTGAAGGTAAACTAGTTGCCCAAACTTACATAGCCAGTAAGGAGGTAGGACTGAAACGCCAGTCTTCTGGGCTCTAAATCCATTGCTGTTTCCTCAGCACCAGGAGGATCTTGTCTCTGGCCCCCAACCCCTATGGCATGCACACGGGGGCACACTTAGAGCAGGGCCCTGTGACCTTATTGTGTTCTTTTGCCCTGCCCTGTCCCCCACTGGGCTAGCCCTTTGGTTTCACAATAGCAAAACAAGGTAGGGGGGCAGGATGTGGGTCTAGCTAGCAGACTGTCTCCACTGCAGGGCATAACATACCCCAAGTGGCATCACCAAGTGTCTGCAGAACAGGCAGAAAAATGACTCCCAGAAAGTATCTGTCTTTGCAAGGCATGTCCTGCAGTTCCCAAGATGCTGGTCTCAGTACCTTGGAGTCTCTCTCCAAAGCACCCCAAAGGGAAGGGAGAGTGGGTAATCCAAGGAGAGCTGAGAATGCCCCCAAGGCCCAGTAAATGCCTCCAAGCCAGACCTTAGGAAGGCCTTTCATTCATTCATGCATGCATGCACTCAAAAAAATCACCACTGCCAAAGTCACCAACATTTAGTCTTTGAATGATTGCGCACTAATGTATCATTTAGAGGGTGGATTTGCCTTTCTAAACATGTGCTTGGGCAGCAATCATGGTTAGTCTGCTTTTTCTGAGAGCGTACTTCTTGAACAACAACAAAGGATAAATCAGACTTTTTATTTTATTTTATTTATTTTATTTGAGACAAGTCTTGCTCTGTCACCAAGCCTGGAATACAGTGGCACAATCATGGCTCACTGCAGCCTTGAACTCCTGGGCTTAAGTGATCTTCCTGCCTCAGCCTACCACTCCTGGCTAATTAAAATAATTTTTTTTTTTTTTTTTTTGTAGGAACAGTCTCGCTTTGTTGCCGAGGCTGGTCTTGAACTCCTTGCTTCAAGAAATCCTCCTGCCTCAGACTCCCACAATGGGATTAGAGGTGTGAGCTATGCGCCTGGTCCAAATCAGATTTTTTAAAAGGCTACCACTCTTTCACCATTCCCCCCATCCTACCCCATCCCAAAATTCAGAAAGGGAATTACAGTTCAGATGTATTAGCAAGACTGACTCAGGAAGAAGAGAGTGAATGAGGTACATGTCTATTTCCATAAACAATGGAAATCTTCATTACAACCCTGCAAAGCCAGGATCACTTTTCCTATTTGGCATATGAGAACACTGCAGTTCAGAGATGACAGTGCCTGGTTTAAGATCCCCCAGAAAGGCTCACAGCCAAAAATCACAGCCTTGTTAATCTGACTCCAAAATCTATGTCGTTTTCACTGAAGTCTATGCTGGTTCTGTTGCCTTGAAAAGCCCTCTCTGCTACAAATACAAAAAAATTAGCCGGTCGCAGTGGCGGGCGCCTGTAGTCCCAGCTACTTGGGAGGCTGAGGCAGGGGAATGGCGTGAACCCAGGAGGGCAAGCTTTGCAGTGAGCCAAGATTGCTCCGCCGCACTCCAGCCTGGGCGACAGAGCGAGACTCCGTCTAAAAAAAAAAAGAAAGAAAGAAAAGAAAAGAAAGGCCCTCTCTCCAATCCTAGGCTAATTTATTAGTTGCTGGGATGAGGCCCTGAGGCTGAGGTGGACTCCCTGGGAACAGGAACTGTTTGCTCACTAGGGGAAGGAGGGGCTCTGCAACAGCTGAGGCCCAGGACCCAGCCCCTCCTCAGAGCCAGATGGGCTCCATAAAGGAGCTCTTGATTCCTCCTTAAAGGTTTATCCCCCCAGGATGGGGGATGAAGCAGGGGAAACGCGACCTCTTTCCTTGGCATGAGCACTCCCATTCCCTGTCCCTCCTGCCCCAAGTGAAATTTACAGTCATGTCTGAAGCTTCTCAAAGTGGGAATTATTCGTGAGGAAAATGGCAACAAAACAATCTCCTGAAGAATTTCCCTGCATTGCAGATGAGTTCCTGAGCCAATGGAATGACATGGTGAGTACCAGGAGAAATACAGGAATACAGCAGGGGAGCTGGAATCTGGTTTTAGAGGATGAAGGCAGGGAAAAGAATGGGACTATAGTCCGGGCACAGTGGCTCATGCCTGTAATCCCAGCACTTTGGGAGGCCAAGGTGCATGGATCACTTGAGACCTTAACTGAGTACTTGAATCGAGATCAGCCTGGTCAACATACGAAACCCCATCTCTACTAAAAATATGAAAAATAGCTGGGCATGATGGCAGGCACCTGTAATCCCAGCTTCTCGGGAGGCTGAGGCAGGAGAATCGCTTGAATCTGGGAGGCGGAGGTTCCAGTGAGCCGAGATCACGCCACTGTGAGACTGTCTAAACAACAACAACAAAAAAGAATGGGACTATAACTCCAGTGGGCCCTGGGTCCCAAGAAACCTAGAAGTAGCAGTGACCCTAGGTAACAAACCTGCTCAGAGCCAGGAATGCTTCAGTGACTATCAGCTTGGGTTCCCAGAAGGCTTTACATTTGGGTCTCTAGGTATATTAGTCTTCTCAGGCTGTTGTAACAACATACTACATGTTAGGTGGCTTCAACAACAGATACTCATTTTCTCACTATTCTGGAGGGAGGCTAGAAGTCCAGTATCAAGGTGCTGAAGAATTCAGTTTCTGGTGAGGACTCTCTTCCTGGCTTGTAATCGGCCACCTTCTTGCTGTGTCCTTATGTGGCCTTTCCTCTGTACACACACAGCGAGAAAGAGAGAGAAAGAGAGAGCTCTTTTCTTCCCGTTTACAAGGACACCAATCCTATTGGATTAGGGTCCTACTCTCAGGACCTCTTTCAACCTTAATTACCTCCTTAGGGCCCCATCCCCAAATATAGTAACATTGGGGATTCGAGCTTCAATTTGTGAATTTTCTGGGACACGATCCAGTGCATAACCCTAGGGTTGGATGAGAATGTTCAGCTAAAATGCCTGTCTTACTGGATTTTGAGTTTTGGCTGAGGAGACCAATGTTTAATGTGAAAATACCTGCCGACAGCCTGGCACTAAGCGCTCTGCCTGTTTTTTCATTTTTTCTTTTTTTCCCCCTCTTATTGGCAATAAAGAATAATAAGGTAGCTGAGAATTAAGAGTTTAAAATGGGCCCAGCGCAGTGGCTCAGGCCTGTAATCCCAGCACTTAGGGAGGCTGAGGTGGGCTTCAGATGGCTTCAGTTCAGTAGTTCAAGACCAGCCTGGACAACATAGTGAAACTCCATCTCTATAAAAACAAAAATTAGCTTGGGGTGGTGGCATGCACCTGTAGTCCCAGTTACTTGGGAGGCAGGAGAATCACTTGAACCCAGGAAAGTGGAGGTTGCAGTGAGGTGGGATCACACCACTGTGCTCCAGCCTGGGCAACAGAGTGAGACACTGTCTCAAAAATAAATAAATAAATACATAAATACAAGTTTACATAAATGCCAGGGGTTGCCTTGGAGTGGGGGAGCACACTTAGCAAGTCTTCTGAGGGGACTGCCCTGTGCTGGGAGCTGCGGGGAGCTTGCCACTGAGTTTCAGAGTCAGCGGCTCCATCCTGGGCCACAGGAGAGGACTCAACTCAAACATCAGTGAGTCCCCAGTGGCAGTCACCTCAGCAGCAGAGGCAGCAAGGGTGGAGGCTGGTGCTCAAAGGCCAGGCAAGAAGGGCCATGTGCCCACGGCATCGGCAGGAGCCTCAGAGAACAGGCGGAACAGAACTCCCACCCCACCCACCAGCAACATGATGTCTGCCAGCTTCTCCCTCGCTCAGACACCTCCTGAGGTGAAGGGAAGAAGAATAGGGCAGGAGAAGACCTGAGGGAATGAACCTTTATCCAAAAAAGGCAGTTTTAAATGGGAAGAAACCACGTTCCATTAGTTAGCGCTTTCCCCTGCCACCCTTGCATTAAGCAAGATGTTCTGGCCCATCTGAGCTATGGTGAGCACTCCGTCTGGATACTGCTACTCTAACATGTATCAAGCACTTACGTCCCAGGCAGAAAGCTCAGTATTTCTTTGATCTTTAGAAGTATGACCTTTTTTTTTTTTTTTTTTTTTGAGACAGGAGTTTCGCTCTGTCACCCAGGCTGCAGTACAGTGGTACAATCTCAGTTCACTGCAACCTCCTCCTCCCAGGTTCAAGTGATTCTCCTGCCTCAGCCTCCCGAGTAGCTGGGACTACAGTAGATACCCGCCACCATGCCCAACTAATTTTCATATTTTTTTAGTAAAGACAGGGTTTCACCATGTTGGTCAGGCTGGTCTTGAACTGCTGACCTCAAGAGATCCACCCACCTCAGCCTTCCAAACTGCTGGGATTACAGACATGAGCCACCGCGCCCGGCCTCATGATTTTTAAATTAATAACAAAACAAACATTCCTGAAAGTGCCGACACTAACATTCCACTTGATGAACTGCTGCAAAATGAACACTGGTGTCAGAGCTGCCCCTAGCATTTGCGTGGCGTGGAGCAAGAGCATCCGTAAGGACCCTGGCCCGTGGCTTCCCCTTCCTCTTCCCACTCCTGGTTCCCAGTCCTGGAAGGGCCTCATGTACACTGCTGTAGATACTCAGTCCTCCAGTCCAAGATCTGTCCCCAGGTCCTTCAAACAGCCTCCTTGAAGCCACTTATTGGAACTAGAGTTGCAAACTGGGAGCAGGGTCTCTCGGGGGACCGGCCTGGGGGGGAGGACTGGAATAGGGCTCGCATTGTTCAGGCAGAGCTCTGAGTGCCTGATGCATAATCCAGAAGGTCGGAGACGTGGCTTCTGGGGGGCACGGCACTTGGTCCCTATGGACTCCTTGCCTCACAGGATAAGGAACAGACAGAGGAAGGCCAGAGTGCAGTCTTTTTTTTTTTTTTTTTTTTTGAGACGGGGTTTCACTCTTGTTGCCCCAGCTGGAGTGCAATGGCATGCTCTCGGCTCACCACAACCTCCGC